TAGAAAACGAACTAGAAAAATGCGTTAGAACAATAAAAAAAAAAGAAGACATCATGTGGGTGAGCACTACGTTTTCATGGCCTTATCAAAGCCCAAAGGTCAATGCTTTGGCCCAAAAAAATCATTAATTAGCATTCATTACAGAGAGAACCAAGTTAATTTACATTACTCAACATTTTCACTCGCCAAGATCGGAGCACAAGCCGGATTCTGAGCTCATCCATCAAAGTTTCACAGTCTGCATCTCTGTGAATTCAGGTTCCGAGAGACTTATTTTCTTATGCCCTCAAAAAGAAGTAAGATTGGAAGGAGGAAAGTTTCATGCGATTGGAGGAAACAATTGGAGCAGCAATAACAAGTGGGGCTGTCTCTTGGAAGAGATCTCCTTCACCGGAGAAGAAGCTAGCCATTTTCACTGCCGAAGTTGCAATGGCGAATACCATAAAGAATATAGCAAAGCTCCAGTTGAGATCAAACACCCTCTTCATCCACAACATCCTCTTCTGCTTGTCTTGGTGAAAAGAAATAGTGAAACCAGGATATGCTATTGTTGTGATCAGTATCTCATTGAGATAATTTACTATTGCTCAGTTTGTGATTTTGCTATGAATATAGCTTGTGTGGAGAAACCACCAGTCTTATCTATAGACCATCCCAAGTGGCATGAGCATAGACTTGCTCTGTTTCCAAGGCAGGTCTCCTTAACTTGCAACATCTGCGCCTTGGTCGATTCAAGCTCTCCTATCTATATGTGTCCCCCTTGTAGCTTTGTGGTCCATCTAAGATGTATCAAGTTACCACGCGTCATAAAGATATCTCGCCATCCTCATCGTATCTCTTTGACCTCATCTTTTGGCCAAGGAGATTGGGTTTGTGGTATTTGTCGCAAAAAGATTGACAATGATTACGGGGGTTATTCTTCTTGAGGGAGTGCCAGAGGATACTGATGAAGAACTTGAGCCGTTTGTGAGGATACACGAAGAAATCATACAACATTTTAGCCATCAACATCATTGTTTGCAATTTAATAAAAATACGGACAAAGATTACGATGAGAATAAGGAGTGTCAAGCATGCATCACGCCGATCTATTTCGGTAACTTCTATTCATGTATGCAATGTGATTTCATTCTTCACGAAGCATGTGCATGTCTTCCTTGCAAAATATATCACTTGCTACATCCACATCAGCTCACTCTAGTAGGAGAATATGATGGTGTTATAAACACTTATGAACTCATGCGCAGCTTGTCTGGGGGTTGTGCACTGGTTTCTTCTATCAGTGCAATGTAGATGGGTGTAGTTTGTATAAGCTACACGTGCAGTGTGCCACAATTTCTGAGCGATTGCGACATAAAAGTCATAAACATCCTTTATACTTAACAGGAGAGCGGAGAACATGTTCAGTTTGCAATGATTCAAGATTTGCTCAAAAGGAAACTATCAATTGCATTGCCACTGATTGTGACTTTGCTTTGTGTTTCCTATGTGCTACTTTACCTCAAAAGGTAAGGTATACAGATGATGATCATATGCTCACTCTTTCTTATGGGGATGAGACAAATACCGAGACATATTGGTGTGAAGAACGTGAGGGGAAATTAAATCCGAGGGAGCGGTTTTATAGGTGTGATAAGTATCGTTGTGTTACCCTACATATTCAATGTCTGACTGGACGAGACTTATACATGAGGCCAGGTTTAACATTGGAACATAACAATAAGAGGGTGGATGTTCGGTGCAACAATCCTGTTGATCGACCAATTTGCAAGGGTTGCAAGGAGCGTTGTCAACAGAAAGTAGTTTTTGTTCATGATGATTGTTCAATAGCTTGTTCAGTGGCTTGTATTAAATAGCGCTAACTGGTCTAAAAGACCAATGCAATGGCTTATTGAGTGTTGTTGTAAGAAATATTATTGGAGTGATTTGTGTCAATTGTATTTTTTATGGTCAAATTTGGAATCCGAACGCTTGCAAATTTTTCAAAGTGGATTCAAAACCAAGGAAACTATGCTAAAGGCAAGTGATTCCTTTACTCATTGTTTAATGAACTCGTGAACTTTGATCTTGCTTTTAATTTTACACAAGAAAATTAGTGAAAAATAAATAAAAAGTAAAAGACCAAAGACATCATTCCCATTAAATGAGGCAAAGACACAACACTACACAAAATGGCAGAGAAGTGAAAAATGCTTTAATGTGAAGAAGACAAGGGACCCCATCTCATTTGAATTCTTCCTCAATAGCTTGTCCTTTTTACTTCTTCACTTGTTCTTTTGTTTCTTATACATCAACTTGACATCTCCAATTCTATACATACCCACACACACACGCAC